AATTTCTTTTGCAATTGTAACAAAAAGTATAAAATACATAGGAATAAACTTAAAAAGGATGTGAAAGACCTCTATACTGGAAACTGCAAAGCATTATTAAAAGAGATTGAAACAGACACAATGAAATGGAAGATCATGGAGCACAGAAATATACACTTGAAAGCTGTATAATCTTATTAACCAATGTCACCCCAATTAATTTAATAAAAAGAAAGAAAAGATCACATTGATTGTAAAAGGAAAAAAAATGCTGCCAATCACAGTGACATGCCATCAATTGTAAGACAGATCTTGATTTCAAAGATATAAAATGTGAAAACAAATGTGTAATGTAGAATCACTTAAGCTTGGATCTCAGGACTCATAAAATCAAGCTATGTGATACAGTCTGTGGAGGAGCACATTAAAAAACATGCACCATCCATGATGTATAAAAAAGCTCTGGAAATTATGACAATCTGAAAACCTGCTTCAGGTCTCATCCACATTGTTTCATGCTCAAATAGACCTTTTCATTTTAAAGTCGTATTAGATGCTATAAATTAACATAATTTTATTCACATGAAAAAACAAAAACAAAAATCCTTGCACTCGAAAATGATCCACCTATTAAGTGAGACTTATTTGGTGTTGCTGTCACCCTCTCACTGTTGCTTTTATTTCCCTAGATGATTAGGGAAATAGATCTGTTGTTATTTATACAAATGTTGGAACCGTTGTTGTTGTGAAAATACATGTTTCATCAATGTTGAATGTTATCAAAACAGTCAACCCATTCTATATCCGCTTAGATGCCTAAATAGTCATTGATCAGAAGTATTATAGACATAAGGTTTGTAATAATGCACCAAATGGTGACATTTACAACAGCTGAATAATTAAAGAAGTGAAAATAAAACAAAGTTATGGTGCCGTTGCTACTGTGGTAGACACAAAACGTGTTTTAAAAAGGCTTTGGGTTGCAGCTTAGATGAGAAAAAGAGCATCCCAGTGGATTCAGGAGCCTGAACAGCCGCAGGTCACAGATGCCCCCTGAGGTGTAAGGCACTGGCCTTAGCATCCTCTGATTTCGTGTGACTCCCAGCTCCTTGGTTTGAGTTCAGTTTGGTATGAGTTCTGTCACGTTGTTGAATCCCAAGGTTTTCATTTTATTTATTTTTTTCTGTATCAGTGCTTCTCAAACTTATATGTGTAATACACATCACATGGGCTCTCATTAAAGTGCAGGTTCTGATTGGGGAGGTCTAGGATGGGGCCTGAGACTCTGCATTTCTAATGAACTCTCAGGTAAGACTGATGCTGCTGGCCCATGGGGCACAATTTGAGTAACAAGTTCTCATAACCAATGTCACTGTCATCATCCTCCTAAAACCTATCAATTCATTAAGTTTTCTTAGTTTATTTCACCTTAAATACATCATTTATTAACAAACCTTTGTAAATTGTGAAGTTAGATAAGAGTGGGAATCATGATTGTTGCTACAATTATTATGTGCATGTGCATATGATACATAAAGTTTTCATTATAGGATAAGCATCTTGACAAATGCTTCCCGGCCATTATGTCCATTAATTTTCATTGCAATTCTATGAGGTAAGTATGCATTGTTAGTGAGCACTATTGTGATAGGTTCTCTAAATACATTATTTCATTTACATATAGTATTAACCATTTGCATTTAGGAAGAATACTGTAATATGTTCACTTTGTTGACTAATACTTCATGCTGATCCAGAGTCTGCCAAGTGCAGAGAATATGAATTTAATGGAAAAGCAGACTTTTAAAGCTAGAAGTGACCGCAAGGAATGTCTGCTACAATGCTTTGCGCACCTGGCAGATAACAGAATGTTTTGAGATATGTTCCTAAAAAAAAGAGATTCCAGAGCACCAACTCCTCTTTCAGTTGGCGGTGGGTGGGGTCCAGGTCTCCAGGGCAGATTTATAATCACTGAGTTAGTCTAACTCCCTAATTAGAGATGTGGAACTGCAGCCCAGGAAAATGAGATAATTTGCCTCATTCATGCATCGTGTTAGTGGCAGAACCTGTACCAGAAGCCATGTATCCTCACTTTCAGTGAATCTTAGACAGAATCATAAGTTTTCTCAGGTACCTTCTCCAGCAGTTAATGCTGTTACTTGGGCTGAAAGATTAAATGCTTGATATGCTGTGGATTTTACCCTGGCACAGGGTTTGATGGTTGCTACAAAGCAGACCCAACCACTAAGTTACCCAATCAACTCTTTCACCTTCTCTGAGTCCCAGATATTTCAGGAAATCTGATGAATTCTAGGCATTCTTTCCCCAGGCAGGGGGTTAGTGGGGAGTTCTGGACATAATCTTTGGATGGAATATGCTTATCAATTGTATTTTTCTTGTTCCAGCAACTAGAATAAAACTCAAAGTTTTTGAAAGTTTTGAGGAAGGCAGTCTTATCCAATTTTGAGTCCCACCCACATGAAGGGAGGAAATCTATTTCCATTGTTTGCTTGCCCCACAGGTCAGAATTATGAGTCCCTGTGTGAGTCTGCAAATGTCCTCTCAACTGTGGAATCTCGTAAGACACTAAAAGGCTCTAGTATAGGCATGTTATCTATTGCTGATTGCTCAGTTGGGAAATGAGATGGGAATTGCAAGGCTCTTCTTTCTGGCTGATTCATGGTATCCTCTGCTTTGTTAATAATGCCACATTGATTCATTCACAAAGCAGACCGAAGGAATATATGTCCTCATTGAGAAAAAGGGGATCAGCACATATTTTATCTTGTTCACTGGACAACAACATAAGCAGTATTAGTGGCTGTTGGGAAAAAGAGAATATGAATGAAGGATACTCACACATAACCCCATAACTCACATAGTTAACATGTTCACTCTTATAAAAATCATACGTCATTGGCATCTAATACAGGCAAGTAGGAAATTAATAGGTCTCATTTTAATTTCTGATCTACTTCTTTATCTTGTAGACTCAAGTGAAGGTGCCCGTAAGTAGTGAACGATACCAAAGGCAGGTGGCAGATGGAAGGAGTGACTAGAAACCTCTGGGAAAAGGCTAGGCTTTGAATAGGGGACATTCAGTTTCCACTAAACAAGTCTGAGAGTTTACCACCATCTAATCTAAAGAGGAGATTTTTGAAACTGGTCTGAAACGCTATGTGAGTAATATAATTTCTGTTGTTTCCTCTGTTGGTTATATAACTTAGAAACTGAAATGAGACTTTAATGAACAAAACTGATGAATTTGACATTTCCCAGTTTCACACTGAGCCTTGAGGTCAAGACAAACTATTAAGACTTAGAGGAGAATTTTCTTCCCCCAGGTAAATACTATCACTCTGATGTAACAAGCAACATCAAGTAATCGAGTCCTGAATTTAACATTTACTAACTGTTAGGGCTGTAGAATCAGCTACTGAGCTAGAGTGTAGGAATCACCACGAACACTCTTCATCCATGTGTATTATAATAAAGGCCTGTGTGCTGGGGGATGGGACCCACTTAGGAGGTTGTATAGCATAGTGGTTAGGAGTTGGGATTTTCCTGGTCTTGTCACTTATTAGCTATGTAAGCTCGGGAAGCCTTTTATTCAGGATAGGATAGATAATACCGAGGTAACAAGTAATGTGCTAAATTTCCTTGGCTTAATACAAATTTTATTTCTCATTCATGTACAGTTTAATGTGTGTCAAGCAATTCTCCTCTAAGTAGTGATTCAGGCTTCTTCTATTTTTTGGTCCTGCCATCATATGGTCCCAGGTTTGTCCTGGCATCCTCCTGTTGGAAGCATGGGAGAGAGAGTATGGGGAAGGTATATTGGGCATGTGACTATCTTAGCTGTTCTATTAGCTGGCACCAGTGTCCTGGTTACTTTACACATCCTTTTTAATTTTATTATCAGTAATAAAGGTCCCTGTCCCTCAATTCTGTCATTGAAACTGTCCCCATCCCTTCTGTTCACACATATCTTCCTGCTTCCATCTGGCCATAAAGCTGGACATTTCTGCCAGAGGTAACCACTAGGTGGTGCCATGACTTCTGGGACTCTCTTATTTCTCCAGGGAGAGAAGGCACTTGGTGATGGCAGTGTGTCCCATCACGTCAAGTTATTTATCCATACAGAATTCTCACATAGAATTTATAGTAAAAAAAAGTCCTCACATTATTATTGCTATTACAGGCCCGGTGCACAAAAATTTGTGCACTCGGTGGGGGAGGGGGGGGGAGGGGGGTGTCCCTCAGCCCAGCCTGTGCCCATTTGCAGTCCAGGACCCCTTGGGGGATGTCCACCTGTCGACTTAGGCCCACTCCCCGGGAATCAGGCCTAAGCTTACAGTCAGACATCCTTCTGGCAGCCAGGGAGCCCTCGGGGGATGTTCAACTAAAGGCTTAGGCCCCCAAGGGAGCTGTGATGAGGAAGCTGGGGTGACAGAGGAGCCATGCTGTCCCGCCTGGCCACCCTGGGTCGGGTTGCACACGGGACGCCTGCCGCCCCGGGTCGCAGATAGCAGGCCTGGATGGTGGCAGGGAAGGCAGGATGGTGCTGTCCCATCCCACTGCCCCGGGTGGCAAATAGCAGTCCCGGATGGCTGCAGGGCAGGCGGGATGGCGCTGACCCACACTGCCTGCAGTATGCAAATTAGCTGCCATATTTTAATAAAATATATTAAAAAAAATGGGTTTGTACAACTTGAAATTAAAAGATATGTAGGACTTGTAACAAAGAGGCCATAAGCTTTTGAAATACCAGTTTTCTTCAAACTTCTCTCCTAACAGAAGGGCTATCTCGTTGATTAGCCAATGGGAAGCATAGTGAAGGTACGGTCAATTACCATGTGTGTCTATTATTAGATAGGATTATTATTTTTTGAGCAATGCAAAAATTTAACAAAAGTTCAATGTGAAAATGGACAGGACTCAATTTTTATATTGTAGTAAACTGTGCTGTGGAGAGGGGACTTGTGGAAGCAGTTGATTTCTCTGGTAACTACAGCCATTCTTTAGACTCGTTCCAAGGCTTCTAACGTGGTGACACGATTTCCTTGTATTACCACCATTCCAATATTGTTCTGTTGCCCACCAGTTGGCAACTCCACACATTTATCTATCACAAGATTCATAAAGGGGTCAAATCTCCACAATATTCCTTGGACATGTCTGCCACCATTTAATCTCAATGATAACTTCTTGTCCATATATTTTTTTTTTTTTAAACTCGGAGGGTGAGCTTTGCTCTTGATGTCCAAGCGAGCTCAAAGATACTTCCACACGGAATTTGTGGCCTCTCTGGAGCTCCCACGGTAGGCCCGGTGTTTTGTGTCTAGTCCTCACATTATTGCATTTGTTAATTCCAGTGTCAGGCATAAAGAGTGATTCATCTTAATAAGTGGTAAGTATATTATTATTGATACCTTGATTACAGAGAAAAGTTTTTCTTGAATTGAGTTAGTGGGGAATAGGGCATTCTTAGCTAGGTCATGAATATCTAAACATTTATAAAAATGGGTTTGTACAGCCGAAACCGGTTTGGCTCAGTGGATAGAGCGTTGGCCTGTGGACTGAAGGGTCCCAGGTTCGATTCCGGTCAAGGGCATGTACCTGGGTTGCGGGCATATCCCAAGTAGGAGATGTGCAGGAGGCAGCTGATCACTTTTTCTCTCTCATCGATGTTTCTAACTCTCTATCTCTCTCCCTTCCTCTCTGTAAAAAATCAATAAAATATATTAAAAAAAATGGGTTTGTACAACTTGAAAGTAAAAGATATGTAGGACTTGTAACAAAGAGGCCATAAGCTTTTGAAATACCAGTTTTCTTCAAACTTCTCTCCTAACAGAAGGGCCACAGAAACACAGTTTTCTTTGCACAGTAGTAGGTGGAATACTTTATAAAGTCATTGTTTGACATTCTGTTCTTTACTCTCTCAACCCCTTTAACTACTTCTCTTAAATAAGACATTTTTTAAATTGTCCATGGATATGAATACAGTCAATAAGACATTGACAATATATACAAATGCACTCAAGCACAATTATAACTTCCTATTCTGAATTCAAAGGCATGAATATGAAAGCTTTGGAATAAAAAGAAAACCCAAAAGAGCCACTTACTACTTACTTAAACACTTGAAAAATGCAGGATGACTTAGAGGGAAGAGAGAGTTACTTACTAATATGTGGTTCATATCAATCTAGAAAGAAAAAACACACTATCATGTGAAGCAAACTAACCAGAAGTCTCTTGACAATGACATACAGTTTAAAGATTTCAGACTTAAGGAGCGATGTTCCAAATCAATGATTTGGGTAGGTCAGCAGGTAATCATGCTAAAAGAATTTGCACAGTTTAAACTTGTTATATTGAGCTGGGATCCCATGCCCCTCAATGACCCGCTTCTGATTAGGGGACAATAGCTCCTGGTTAGCCTGTAGAATCAGCTACTCTGTAATTGTAAGGAAACACAATGGCTGGTTTCATAAGATTTTCAGAATACATGCTGAGTACTTTGGTTCCAAAGCAGGCTGGTGAAAAAAGATGCTTAATTTGGTGTGAGAAGTTTGTGCATCACAACTCCTGATGCCACTTTTAAAGATAATGTGAAATGCCTAATTTGCAGTCTAGGAAGTCCATTGTCGGTTATACACTGTAACGAAAAGTTGGACAGCCCTCTATGTCAAACACAGTGTTTGAACTGGCATAATGAAACGAGCTACTTCTCTTATTTCAACCACAGTGCCGCTGTTATGCTCACCCAGCCACAGAAATAAGAGGCCTGATACGGGATCACCATAGTAGAGTCATAGGCAGCGTCTACACCACCAAAATTAATGCATTTCTTTTTTTAAATTGAAAAACCTTTGAAACCTTAACATGAAGAATATTATTCATCATAATATTTATACTTTTACCAAATATTCAACAATTTCTAGGTGAGGAAGACTGTCTCACAGTTAGTAGATGTGAGACTAAGCTTCTTATGTTAGCTTTGTTGTATTAAAAGGTAAGGTGTGGAACACTGTAAGGAAGATCCTATTGACTAGTTATATATTGACTAAAAGCAAGTCTTTGTGAGAATTCACAATGGGATTACAAGCCATTGAAATTTAGGAAGAAATGTGTCTGATTTGGCATATTTGCTGCCTCAGTGGTGCTCTAGGAAGTTCCCAGAACAAATATTGTCACAGATAAGATATGTCTGATATATCTCATTTCCTTCTCTGGGTCTCTTTTTAAATAATGTTCTCACCTAAAGCCTGTTTCTCTGTGTGTGTGTGTGTGTGTGTCTGGGGGGTGGGGTTTCATTCTCTACTTATTTATACAGTGTGTGTATTTTCTATTTGTTTTCTTAAATTTCTGTCTTGAGCCTGAGCGTTTTAAATCATAGAATAGACTTTTCCTTATCCTTTAAAAATAAACAGTGAGGGATATTGGGTAGAAGTTTGTGGGGAGAGGTAAAGCAATGAGCCCTTTCCTGAAATTATACCATGTGGATAAGCTTTTATAGTTTTCACGTGGCAGCCTAGTCACAAAGTGGTTATTCCTAAGTTTGGAGAAAAATCACAGTGATAGCCTTGCCGGCTCAGTGATTGAGTGTTGACCTATGAACCAGGAGGTCACAGTTTGATTCCCAATCAGGGCACAGGCCCGGGGTTACAAGGTTGATCTCCAGTGTAGGACATGCAGGAGGCAGCTGATCAATGATTCTCTCATTGATGTTTCTCTCTCTCTTCCTCTCTGAAATCAATAAAAATATATTAAGAAAAAAGAAAATCACAGTGATATCCATTGAGGAACTCCTCTTCATGGACATTGAATAGTGAATAAGGCATATCCAGTTAGAATGGGCATGACTTCTTCTTGTAGGGCCATTCTGAATTTACAGAACTATCTAACTCAGTTATTTATAGATTCATATAAAGACATAATTTTTTTTTTAGTTATATACATGAAATGTATACGTACAATTCTATTCAGAAAAAACCTTTCAAGTTATTTCCATGATCACAAATATGCACAAGTGACTCCATTGGGAAGGATGATGCTTTCATAACTTTTTACACGTATTTGTGCAAACCAATTCTGGCCCTTCACGTTTCCAATTTACTGGATTGAACTTTGCTTGATAAGTTGTTTCTTTGGGGATTGCAGGAATCTGGTGATGTTGGATTCTTTGAAGGAATACTAAGTATATCTGGCCTTAGTTGAACTGTGTAGGCACACCACATTTTTTGTAACAAATATCCTTCCAAAATAAGGCATGTGGAGTCCCACAGAGGAAGTCATGTTTTCCCCATAAATTGCCATTAGATCTTCAGGAGATCTAGTGGAGGATTTTGAGTTCCAGAGGAATCTTCAGCTTAAAGGATGATGGAGCCACCAAACAGAGGAAGCCTGGTTCCCTGTATCACCCCATGAAAAGCTATCATCTGTCCACCATCTTCTGTACATGGTGCTATGAATGAGACAGAACTCATAAGTCTTTTATTCTACCTATTGTATTAAGTCACTGAGACTTGGGGTTGCCTGACCCAACTGATAAAATTCCTTAGTGATCACCTAGGTTAGAGATGAGAAACTGGAGGCCCATTGAAGGAAAGCAACTTGTTCCAAGCCATTCAACTTGTATGTGTGGTGAGTCAGATACCCAGCATTCATTGCTCTTTTTGGCAGAATCCTGTTTTTGTTTTTCCATGTTGGATGCTAACATTTGGTACTTTCAAGATGGAAGGGTGACTAATAGCCTCCAGGAAATATATAAACTGTATAATCTGGAATATAAATATGCTTCCTTAGCACGTGTCAGACTTGAGACTGTTTATGAATGCTGGCAAGAGGCAGTGACACAGATCGGTCACCATATGCTCTGTTTTTAAAGACCTTAATCTTCAGGGTAGAAAAATGTAAGTGGGATTACCACATCACTAAAAGCTTAGCATCTTGCAGATGTTCATCTCAGAATCTTCCTTACTCATTTTCCTCAATGACATGGAAACCAAATCCTTTCAATCCCAACTCCCTGGCCAGAGATGCGGCTCCCTGGGTCCCTCCACCTGCATAGAGTCATCATTCTCACCGCAGGCTGGCCTGCCAATTTACAATTTGGAGGTAGTACTTCAGTTATCCCCGAAACTTGGCGTCTTCTTGGCTTCACATTTCTGGCTGCTTGGCTATTTCCTCCCTCAAAGCTGCAGCTCTTTTGGTGTCCTAGAACGCGGGGTTTAAATGCTGAACCAAAAGATGCTTCGAATCTGATGAGAGCGGAGGCCTCCAGATCTGCCTGCCGAGCAGTCTGCGCTGCAGTGTAAGCAGACTGTCTCCGCCATATGTCACCCTCGTTGCTGTCTACACCCTTTTGGGGAATTTCACGGGAAAATCACTATTGAAGATGTTTATCCTGGGATTTTATAATTGTTTTAAAATTTTAATTTAATTTTCACCAACTTTGTTCCTTTACAACAGCTTTTAATCATGCCACTCACTGACTCTATACTGTAACAGTTGAGTCTGTATTGGGGATTAGAGGGCTAACTGAAGGAGTGCCCACATGCCCAAGGATGACCTGTGAAACATTATCGGACTAGCAGAGCCCAAACAGCGAAATGCTTTCTGCAGTAAAATATTCAGGATTATTCCAGGTCCCAGGAAATCAAATTTTTGAACAAAAGAAAATAATGGAGTATAAAAGTATATTTAAACTTTTCTGAAACATATTCACAGATGAAGTAATTTCAGATTGATTGAGCAATGTGAACAAAACTCTGTTAAAAATATTGCTTCTTTCACTTATATTCTTTACCCCTCTACATAACTATATGTCTGTGTATGAGTGTGTTGTGTGTTCATACAGGAAATACTGGGGATGTATTTGTTGGCAAATATGATATATTCTTATTCTAAAGAGATTTTTATTTATTTCAATAAATAAGAAGGCCTTCAGTTTCTTACGAGGATGAAACTGAGTCTGGAAAGAAATACTGTTTTGTACACTTGGAAACATGCTGGAGTGGAGATTTCACAAATTTATTCTTGAACATGGAGCAAGAGAAGGATGAAGAGCAATGATGTGTATAGCAGACTGAAAAGCACATACTTGAATGGGAAGAAATTCTCCCTGAGTTAGTTCATGACCACAGGGTTATTTAATAAATGGATGGATTTATGAGCAAATAAAAGCACTAATATTGGGCAGAGGATAAGTTGAATGGCCAAACTACAATAGTTCTGTTGTCTG